TTCATCTGAATAATGATCATCCATTTTTACAAGGTCCGACTCATTTGAAGCTTCATTATGATGCTGCATCAAACTGTCTTTCTTCAATTCTTGTGAAGTGAACTCAGTGAATAAGTAATCGGATAAGTTTGTTTTAAGAAGCTCTCTCAATGCTACATGTACATAGAGTAGTGATTCAGTAAAAAAAATGGAAGTGAATTTTTTTAAAAAAATAAATAAATAAAGTTGTGTGAAGAAGCAACCTGCAAGTCTCCCAAGCATGTGAATTGTGATGCATTGACCTGATGATTTTTGTAGATAAGATCTCCAGAATTTCCAATCAATGGAAAGCATGTGTCTTACAACTGATTGTTTATACTGATTCACAGGAGAGATCACATACCCTCCACCTGTAAAACAAGTTGGGACAAATTACAATAATATCCTTCTAACTTCTAACCATAACTACCACCAATGTTTCTATAATTCTAATAACTCATCACAGCTTACATTTAACACAAGCTCTCATAAAGCCTTTTTTAGGGGGGCATTTATTGTGAATCACAGAATGATAAAGAATAACTGCAACCATGAAAAGGACCTTACCTGTTATGTTATCTCCAAGCGAAAAGAGTATTATTAAAAAAAAAAAAGCAAGACATTAAATAAAGAAATTCTAACTGTATGTCCCATTTTCTTCCTTTCTCCAGTAGCGATGTAATAGTAAATCTCTACGTTTCATATCCCTGTAAAGTAGGGAGATTATATAATATGAATGGTGTTATTTTAATGGACTCATAAAAATCATTATCGGTGATTCATTTTTCATAAGTCATACCAAGGCAACCAATCACCATCTAATTGCTTGTGGATAATATCAGTGTGACTATCAATGGTTTCAATCACACTACCCTTTTGAAAACAGAAGTCCCATCTGCATGAATAAAAGAATTGGCACTTCAAAGTGCTTAAAGAAATTACAATTGAGAAAAAAAAAAAAAAAGTAATCTTTATCCTTACTGTGATCTTGAAGAACCAAGAGACATAAGTATCTGGAAAATGACCTCTGGGGTTCCTTCCATCACACTAACAGCTGCTAAAGCGGGATGGCTGCCTCTCTAGAATACAGAAAAAAAAAAAAAAAAAAAACACCTTTAACATGGAGGGGTAATATCAGAAAATGAACATGATATGAAGTTACAAACCTTATGATTATCTTCTTGATCATATCTTGCTTGTTTAAATAACCTGAGACCTGAAGCAAAAAACATACTTTTAAGTTTTAAGCATGAAATTTAGCCATATGGAGTACACATTTCATTAGCTTGATGTTTACCATTGTGACAACCAAAGATTGTCCAGTATGATGGTTGGTATATGTCAGCAGTTGTAGGATCCATGATTGAAGCTAAAGAGAGGATTTCATCAACATCATTCTTATCACACATTCTACCAAAATAATTTGATCTGCACATCACAAGTGGTCATGTTAAGGACAGTTTTTGAATGCACCTATAATATTACTAGTGTTGTTCATACCTGTGACAACCCAAAAAGTTTCCTGGATTCTGGTTCACCTACATTGATTATAACAAATGAGTCATTAGCAATAGAAATTGGTTGCATGTTTTGAATGCTAATTAGTTTTCACCTTTTCATGAGATAACTCCAGGAAAGAATTGATCCATCTTGTAGCATCTTCTGGATTGCTTGCTCCTAACTATGGAAGTTTGGATGTAACAATTAACAACGCGTGATTCAGATGAATTAAATTTACTTTTATTAGGAGAAAGGAATATGTACCTTCATATGGGCATCATAGTTTGAAGTATCACAAAGCGTGAAAACAAAGAAGACCTGAATTAGGCATGAGGATGCAGTTTGTAAGAAGTAATAAACTAAAGACAAGACATGTTGTTAGCAAACTAGTTGGGGTAGGCTAAGATGAAATCCATAAGAAATTACCAAAGAGCTAGGCATAAACTATGAAGCTTTGGAACATCAATATATAGCTTTATGTAATTAATAATTAACAATGCTTGTTTAAAATGCATAAACTATTTGATACCTTCCCTCGAATGTATTTCCTCCCATTGTCCACTACATGAATGCTTGAGTCCACAACTGCACTTCTAATTGGATCCTGAAACAAGCAACCAAATTCCTAGTGGTGTCATTAGGTATCATTCATTTACTGAGATACTCGAATGCTAATTTTTCTCTATGGACTATATGGGATGTTAACTCTTGAGATATCACACAACATGAACAAAGCTCAGACACACTAATCAAGGTTGGATTTGTTTATACGGTTTTCGTCCATCTATTATCTCCATATATAGACATAAAAAGACCACAAATAGAATATGTTGAAAGTTGAAAACTAATTTGGAACTACTCTACAAATTCTTGTACGTCAGCGAAACGTCTTCCACCGGGATTTTGTAACTTAACTGCGTCCAAAATGCTATTTTCCCTATTATTGAAGTAAAATAAGGTTTGAAATTACACATTTTCATAGATTAACTGGGAATACTTTTTTTAGAAGGATACTAAGGGCGAATCATGGAGCAACTACTGGTACGCGAGTACAACAAAATTAATTGCCCGAATACTTAATGACCAGAAAAGCGAAGAAGCGTCGGCGCACAGTGATCGACTTTGATTTAAAAGTATACAGAAATTCGTGTTGTAGCAATCAGCACATGAATGATGGAGAATTGAAGTAGTATGAAATGAACACATCAATATTGAAAACCCAACCACATGCATAGTACAGTAATAAACAAAAAGCGACAGGGATTGAACAAACCTGATTACAAAAATGGGGGATAGATTTGAAGCTCATGAAACGGTGATTCTGAAGAACGTAGTAAAGCTTGCGTGAATATTTGAATCCGATAGTATTGGAGCGTATGAGATACAGCCAACCTTCCATGAATATTATTCCTTCATCGATCTGCCTGCTCGAAGCATCCATTTGATTGATGATTACTTCAATGACAGTGTGTGTGTGTGTGTGTGCATGCGTTTGTAATTGTGTGTGTCAGTTGTTCAAAACCTGTAAATTTTCTCCACACGGGTTTTACTCTCATCAGAAGCAATCAAGAAACCGATTGGAACCAATTTATATGGCATCACCCGATGCATGACTTTATTGAACCCGGTCCAATGCTGTTTAACTCCTAACTCGTCTCGTGACCCGGAGGTGGCCCAATCAGTTGAAAATAATTATCACTTTTCACTAATTTCAAGTTTATATATATATATATATATATATATATATATATATATATATATATATATATATATATATATATATATATATAAATAATTAAAATTTAGATTTTATTTATATAATCTTTTTTATTGACTTTTATGACATCAATTATTAAATTATATTTTAACTTAAATATTTATTTTTAAAATTTAAATGATAAATTGACAATCATCTAAATATAGGTATATTTTAGGTAATTTACCCATTAACTTTTGTAAAGATAGTTAACCATTTAGGTTGTGGTGATTTTATAAGACATGTTAAAAATATGGTCGATAATCTATTAACTCATTATCAAATCCTGGAACTATTCAGTCTCTAATCTCCGTGTAGGCATGGAGGTCGTGTGTATTCGATCAAATTGGAGTTAATTAATATTGTATTTAAATAATTTCTATAAAATTTAATTAAAACTGAAAACCGACCTTTTAATAAAAAAAAATATCCATGACTTTACGATAGTTTCGTAAACGTCTAGAGTTTATGTTTATGTATTTTATTATTTTATTATGTAAAGTGTGTGGACTGGTTATCAATCATAGTTTACTACCCTTTTCTATCAAATAGTATTTTAAATATTTTATCGAAACGGTTGTATCATTACTCGAAATATTTTGTGAGACCAAAAAGGAGTAGCGAGCATTCATGTCATGTGCATAATTATCACGACATTTGACTACAAGTTGTTCTATACAAATACTCAACTTGTATTGGGCATAAAGAGTTGTACTTTTTTCTTGCAATATGATATTATGCATAAAATAGTTGTAATATCTCTTAAATGACATCAATGTACAGGTCTGAAAATAAATTGGCGGGTGAGACTAATATCAATCCAATCCAACCCAACCCATATAATCCCGTTTAATTATATGAGTTCGAATGTTCATATGTTACTGGGTCGATTTCAGGTCAAAAAGTCGATGGGTCATTTTTGGGTAACCTTTTACATGGTAAATTTATATGAATTATAGATGTCTTTAAATTAATTAACCATTAGCATTTTACATTGACTACAATAAAATGAACAACTAAAACCAATATAAGAGGGTGTTTGGCTTAGCTTTTGAAAACAAAAAGTTTTTTTTGTAAAAGATGGAAAAGTCAGGATTCTGTGACTTTTCAAAAAGATGTCATTTACTCTATTGGAAAAGTTGGAAAAGTCAGGATTACCAAACATCTTTTTGACTTTTAGAAAAAAATAAAAAGTTAAAAGTCACTTTAAAAGTTATCCCAAACACCCTCTAAGTATCTAACATAATAACTTAATAAGCAACATATTTGAAAAAAAAGAGGTTTCCAACATAAAGTCATAAAGTTATAAACTCATAAACATCCAAATGAAATTGAAATCATTCATGCAAAGTACAATTGGTGGTGTACGACGAGCCGACGAGATGTTTGAGTGTAAATCTCTCAGGCTACTAAGCCTCTTACGTCTGTAATGGATTGGGAAATATAATTGAATTTGGGGTTAAAATGTTAGGACACGCCGGATAGTGTATTCCATTAATTTACAAAATATATTTTTAAAATATAATATATAGTCGGGTTGGCGGTTCAACCCGCGAACCCAAACAGGTAACCTAATCCAACCTATGAAATAAACGAGTTGATGGGTTAGAAATCTCAATCCAAACTCGTTTATTTTTGTGTCGGGTTACAAGCTGTGTCGAAAATTGTCACCCCTATGAATGTATCATATTTGTTAATATCAATATCATTAAGGGGGAACGGTCTTATGTCTTTTGGCTTCTTTTGGCTTGAAAACGGTGTAGGTGCCAGTAGGATCATTGGGCTCGCGACTTTGAATGCCATGGGGTGTGGCGTGGTAGGCTTGGGTCAGTTCGTGACCATTCCCAACCGAGAGCTTTCTTTCTCTCTCAAATGCTTCATTGTTTGTACCATATGCTTTGTGTGTGTGTATATATATATATATATATATATATATATATATATAAAGATTTTAATTATCGTTTTGTTTTAGTAAATGTTTTAATAACTAAAATAAAAAAAATAAAAAAAAAAAGTTAAGAAGGTTGGAAGGTTCAAGATTGATAATTGGTTATTATGTTTTGGGAATCCTATGAGAAAATAAATCCCCTATTCTAATAAATAAGTAAATTTTTGCCACGTGACATTCTTCAAGCCTCCCAAATCGAATTTTTCCCGCTTAAAATACTAAAGTGAATTTCCCCAAATGCCCTTCAGCTTTAATCTTCAGATTTAATGCGTTTCAATCAACTGCGTTTCTTTCCTTTCGACGTTTCTAATCTCCTACATTTAAGGCCAAAATCACTGATATCTCGCATCCATTTGATTTAGTTGCACGATTACTCATATATCCTTTCCAAAATAATTCAATGTTGCTTATATGGATTTCGATTTTCTTCACCGTCTTCTGTAGGAAACGATTTCAGTTTTTGTAGGTCAAAATTTTCATCCCATTGATCGATATGACTAGACAATTTTCTATTGGGAGCAGCGATCTGTGGTACATTCTGTTTCTCAAATCCATTAGCAATTCAACATCCTCCAATTGACATGTCCTCCAATCAAAATGCTTCTGCATCAATCGGGTAAGTATTATTCTTTTATTGTTACAACATCTATATACTCAATTTATGATCTTATGTGTCAATGGTTGTAAAATTATGTTCTTTTTTACAGTTTAATAGAACAAAAATGCAAGGTGGATGCTTTGTAAACTAGATTATTTTGACTTGCACACCATATGCTCGACAAAATACCATAATGAAGAATATTATGTTTAATAAAGAAGAATATTATGTTGTGCAAACATTTTTTTTTTGTTATTATTAGATACGAATTTCTTTTGCTAGAGCATGTTGCATTGCAAGATCCACCAAATGTATCAGTTGCCATTCTCCACCAGTTTGATATTCTTCCTGAAATGTATCAAATTGGTTATACAAAGTTGTTATTTAGAACTGGATAGGTCTGATGATCATTTTTATTTATTAATTTATTAAATCTTAGTAATTATACAAAAACTGATGTTATATTATATTATATTATATTATATATATATATATATATATATATATATATATATATATGTCAGATCGGAAAGCTTGAGGATACAAGGAACCGAACTCTTAATGACATATTGTGTGTTCAAAGCTGCTTTAGAGGTCACAAATCTCGTCAATATTTGAAGGAACTTAAACGAGGAATTTTCACTCTTCAGTCGTGTATATGCCTTTTCAATCTTTTTTTTTAGAAGAAATATTGAGATATCATTTAATTAACAAGAATATTTTTCTACAGATGTTCGTGGTGAAAAAACCAGAAAGGAGTTTGGGGTATTGCTACAAAGACATAGGGCGGCTGTTGTTATACAGAAACAAATTAAATCAAAAGTAAGCAAGAAAAGATTTGAATACATTCATGGCGCTACTGTTGTGTTACAAGCTGATATATTATTTTTTCTATATCATGATATTATAATTTTAATTATGGTGTTAATTTATGTTATTAAAACCTATATTTTTTTCAGTTATACGAGGGTGGTTGGTTAGAAGATGCTCAGGGGATATTGCACTACTTCAATTTGGTTCTGGAAAGGTACACTTAATGAGATTCTGTTTAATAACATATAAAAATATATAATCATGTCACAACTCACAACTCACATTTCAATTTCATGAGAAAGTAACGAAGTGAGGTTAATTTTTGGAAACAGGGCAATGAATCAGATGAAGTGGTGGTGAAGTCATCATATCTTGCTGAGTTACAAAGAAGAATCCTCAAAGCAGAAGCCGGATTAAGAGAAAAAGAAGAAGAAAACGATATTCTACACCAACGTCTGCAACAATACGAAAGCAGGTGGTAGCAGATAAAATAATTCCAAGTCAAATATTCTACACCAACGTCTGCAACAGTACGTTATGATGTTATAATATGTTTTTTTTAAATATAGTACAGTATGATGCTATAATATGTTATTTGTTTGGAAGGTGTAGTTGTATGTTACCCATTATAACCGTTTACTTTTTATCCCATTTTGTTGCTCCTCTGCCAATAGTGAAAAAAAAGTAAGAATAAAAAAAGTACCAACTCGAAATAGTAATGTACTTTTTTTGGTTTATCAAAATCTATCATTTTATACTTCCTACATATATTTTTTTATTTTCAACCTTATTTACAAAGTATGTCAATTGTTACCCCTATACCAACAGTAAAAAAAAAATAAGAAAAGTAAGAATAAAATAATTCCAAGTCAAATCATGCAATAAATAGCAATGTACTTTGATTCATTTGTCAAAATTCATCATTTTATATTTCTTACATGTATTTTATTATTTCAATCTTATTTACATTTTATCCTATTTGTTCCTCTATGCTCATTTGTTGCCCTATACCAATAGTATATTTGTAATTTAATAAAAAAAATTGTTGCAAATATTTTATTAGTCATTGCGATTTTGAATTATGAATGAATGTTTTTTTCTCTACTGTGGAATGAAAATGAGGAGTGATTGTGATAGTGGAGTTGAAGATTTATTGAGGTGGTAAGTTACAATGGGAAAAGTGACGTTTTAGCCGACAAAACATTTTTTCTTCCCAACAATCATGCACCAAAAGTAAGGGTTTAATAAGAATAAATATTTTTGTACAACTCACGTGCTTGTCTTGTGAGTGTGTCACAACTTCCATGTATTTAATAAGATTAAAGCTCCAAAACTGATAATATGTTGCATTATAGAAACTCATGACTTTAATAAAATAGCAGGATTCACATGTGTAACTAGTAAATTAATGATATATTATTTTATTACATAATCAATTTTTTAATTCTATTTAAAATTAACACCCGTGGATTCCACGAGTTTTAACCTAGTAAATAAATAAATACTTATATAACGAGATATAACGTGGCAAGAGTTCCCTAATATATTGCTAGTTTTTGTTAGTTTTTCGTTGTTTTTCTTAATATACTCCTTATAAAATTCATTTCTCGTTTTAAAATAATTAATATATAGTTTTCCGTTATTATGATATGACTTTTAAATTTTAATCATCAATTAGACCATGTATATATAATAATTTAAATTCAAATTATAAGGTAGTACAATAATCTTGAAGTCGTTTCATAATAATGATGAAATTCATTGATAATGACAATTTAATGCTTATAAGGATTTCCAACATGTCATTTTTTTATTAATGTGACTTGTTCTCGCAAATTTCTCCGCTCTTCTGTAGAGCTACATAAATACATAAAGAGATATCATCTTATATATTTTTTCTATATATCTTTAAATTCATCTTAAATGGTGATATGTGTCATACAAATATATTAAAATATTATAGGAGGATATTTTCTATTATTATTTTTATTAAATATGACACATATCACCATTTAAGATAGGTAAAAAGATATATAGGAGGATATTTAATTTGTCATATATAAATCATGAGTTCAAACTCACTACGCCATGTATAATTTTCTATCATAAAAAGTCTAAATTATAAGATTAACTCAATAATCTTTAGATCAATATAAAATTATGATAAAAGTCTATTGTGTTGGATAAGGTGTCTAAGCTCATAACTATAATTGATATGTACTTGACCCGATAGTAGCATGGTCCTTTTGGATTGCTTTCACCATAGCAATTTGATAGGATGAATTATGGTGAAAGAGGTTAATTGTGATTTATTAATATATTATAAGAATAATATATTAATTGAGAAATCATATTATTTAATTAGTATTGATCAGAAATTAATTTGGAATTAATTTGGTGATCAAAAGAGACTGATTAAATTATGGGGACTGATATTGCAATTATCTGATAGTTGCAAGTTGGGCTTATGGATCCCTAGGAAGGGGTGGACGAATTTCTATGTGTAGCTTACATAGATTTCGTCCAAAGGGGGCCTTCTGGAGGATCTACTGGACTGCTTAAGGCTTAAGCAATCAGATTAGGGTTTTACCTGAAACCATAGCAGCTCAGCTATAAATACAACCCTTGGCTCCTTGAAATCGGCATATGCACTTAAGAAAGAACCCTAGATGATTTTTAGAGCCTCACTATCTCTCTCATAATCTTCCAATTGCTACTTGGTGTTTGTGACTCATTAGAGGTGCAACAATTGAGGCACTAAGTGAAACATCCCAAAAATACAGACCAAAAATTCCATTTTTAATTATTAATAACCATAGTTATCCAAAACACATGTCATAATATCTCAAACATCATATCAATGTATATCAAAATATCAGAGTATAAACATCCTAGGCTGAAACAAATGGTGTGTGCGCTGCAATCATCCCGAGCCCTTCCCCTTGCTACCAGAAGTACCTGAAACCAAAACTGAAAATTGTAAGCACGAAGCTTAGTGAGTCTCCCCAAACTACCACATACCACACACATAACATGCAACTAGGAGATATGGGCCCCACCCACACTCATGGAGATACGGGCCCCGCCCACACTCCGCTAACTGGGAAATACGGGCCCCGTCCACACTCCGCTGACTCTGAGATACGGGCCCCGCCCACACTCCGCTGACTCTAAGATACGGGCCCCGCCCATACTCAGCTACTACGAGATACGAGCCCCTCCCACACTCGGCTACTAGACATACATACAAGTATCACACAGACAACAAGTATAACTAATTCTATCAATCAGGCATACATCCATAATTAAACTAAGTTATGAGATACGGGCCCCGCGCACACTCAGCTAACTGGGAGATACGGGCCTCGCCCACAATCAGCTACTAACATAATCATATTGCGGGTCAGCCTTGGTGTCGTAGACCCGTTCCTACTGTAGGAAACTCACCTCGAATGCTAGCTGTGAAATCTCGTGTGAGGAATCTCTGACGGTCGCTCCAACGAATCCCCGACTATCAATTTCACAATAACACTTAATCAAAATCTGATAATCCTTCTCAGGGTAAAATGACCATTTTGCCCCTGGTCAAAGTCAACATCCTAGTCAAAGTCAAAGTCAAGGTCAACTCCCAGTCAACCCAACTCGTCGAGTTATCTCCCAACTCGGCGAGTTCCTGTACTACTCATGCTCGTGGTCAACCGAGTCAACTCGTCGAGTCCTTTCACAGACTCGTCGAGTTCTACATGGCTTACAATCGGGGCAACTCGGCTTCAACTCGTCGAGTCCCTTACTGGACTTGCCGAGTTCTCCTGTCTGTTTGGGCTATCTTAATAGATTAAGCCCATACACTTCAGATCTAAGCTTCATACTTCACATAACCCCTGAAAATGTCCTTTTAAGGGTAAAGTTTCCGACTTTACCCCTTAGTACCCCTTCTTAAAGGGTTTAGCTCAAACCCTAATTCCTTGGGACCTAGAACTTGGTCCTTAAGCCCTCCATACACCAAACTAAAGCTTACAACCTCAGATCTAAACCCCTAACACTACTTGGGCACGTAAAGTTCCCACCTTTTCCTCACATGCATGGCCTTTTGGGCTAAAAAGGCCAATATGATAGTCTATGGCTTGCATGGGGGCTCCAATGGCATAAAGTTTGCACCTTTATGTCATAACAGCCCCTCTAGGTCCTAGATCTGGAAGATTATCCACTTGGGTCGTCCATTCTCCAAAGGTTATCATTCTTGGGCCAAAACCTTCATAAAAGGGGAAGGAAGAGATCTAATGAACTAGAGGTCAAGATGGAAACTTGATTACCAGAAAATGTAGCCAAAGAAGTGTAGTTTCTAGATCTACTCTCTTCCTCTTGATCCTTCTAACTCCTTCTTTTTCAAGCTTCAAGAACACAAAAGATTTCTTACAAATGGCTCACACACTCACAAGATGCTCTAGGGTTTCATGGATTAGGGTTTGGGAAAAGGAGGTTGTAAATGAGGCTAAGGGGCGGGGGTTAAGGAGCTTAAATAGGGTGCAAATCCCCGAAATTAGGGTTTCATTCTGGCCGATCTACTCGCTGAGTCGAGGGCTCTTGACTCGTCGAGTAGCTAGCTCAAACCCCACGCATAATCTGCCTTCTACTCGAAGAGTTAGGGCCACCAACTCGTCGAGTCCCTCTCTTAAAATGAATAAATAAATAAGTTAAATGCATACCAGGAACCAGGCGTTACACTAAGCTCTTGAAGGTCAAGATCTACAAGCTACAAGGAAAAGGTATTCATCTAACTTTGTTTTAGTTATAAATCTCGAAATTGTATGCTAGATTAGGGTTTATGCTTTGGATAATGAAAATTGCATGTATAACTTGAGAAAAAACTAGATCCAAAGCATTAGGGTTGCATGTACACCATAAGAATGTTGTAGTGCTTAAAACTCATCAGTGATATCAGAGCTTAAGGTGTTTTTCTGTTATATTTTATGTCATGGTTAATTGTTCAAAGCTGAAAACAATCGAAATCTGGACTCTGCCAGATGAACTCGACGAGTCCATTGTGGGACTCGACGAGTTGAGGCAACTCGACGAGTCCAAAGCCTGACTCAACGAGTTGACTCGTCTGATTGCAGGATTTTCGGATTTCAAGCCAAAATTAGATAAGGATGATTACCATAAGTTGTTTTAACTGATTAAAATCGATTTTTCTGATATGGTAATGAATATCCTCACCTAATTAAAAGATAATGGTCAAATTTTAAGACAATTACTAGATTATGTGATAAATTAATTATTTGTAAAATTTGATTTGAATTTATCTTACCAAATAAAATTGGATTAGGTCAAATTTTGATAAAGATAAAATTATATGATTAATTTAATTGTTTTAAAATTTGATCTAGAAAGTTTTGAAAAGTTTCATAACTTGCCCTCAAGTTTTGGAATTTAAAATTTGATAAAAAGTTTTAATTTTGAAATATTAAATTCTAAAACCCTA